ATACTATTTACATGTTAAAATACATAATCAAATTATATAAATGTTTCTTGATTTTTTTTTTTTTTCATGTTCGAGCTACTGATTAATTTTTGTGTAATACTTAAAGGTAATCATGTCCAACGAATATAGCTAAACATATTGAAAGGCAGAAAATAATTAAAAATCACAATCACTAATAATATACACAAAACTCGTATTGTATCTTACCGATATTTTATGTATCTGTTCGTGTTCTTTTGTCAGAGTGTCAAAATACACGTCACTTATATTTAAGATATTTAACATCAATCGCATTCTTATATAAATAAGAATATGTAAATAAACTTTAAAATACGTTTACAAATCAGGCTTAAAACTTACTTTCTCTTATACTACGAAAACTTACAAAGAAATATACAAAATAAATCTGCTAAGGCATTCAATACAATACGTTTTTTATTTCAAGCAAACGCATTCTTTTTTTTTTTTCTTCTAGTTAATGAAGTACACCGTGGTGTGGACGATTTCACCGTTGACTTAATCTTACGGATGGAAAGAATTGAATATTTATAGAGAATCTCGTAGGAAATATAAACAAATGGTGCAATTAAATACAATATAGCTAAATATTGTAGTATCATGGGGGAAAAATTAATCAATGGAAGTGAGGTACTTTATAAACAATAATAATAAATATTACAAAGTGAATATAATTGATATGCAGACACGTAGTTCAGGTGAATAAGGCCTACGTTAGTTGTTAGTTAGAATAAGTTGGGTAATATGAGGTGAGGTTAAAGGTTTTTACACTTAGGGTGAGGATCGCCATCCTCCAAATGTGAGAGGTGAAGGATGCCAATAAAAATTTGTTAAAACTTGTACACGTATAAAAAATTTTGCCTACATATGTGAATTGATTATTACTATTTACTTAAACATTGCTTTATGGTGAACAAATGTAATTGGTACTTATTTTCATACAATTTTTCATCGTGGATGCTGCCATAGATCTAGCTGTTAAAAATCTCTTGTAATTAAAAACGAGTGCACGTTGCTTTTTTATTACTTTTCATCGTGGGTAATGACAAAGAAAAATATAATGTGTTACTTACACTAATTATTTAGTGGTTTGTAGGGAAAAAGAAAAAGAATGTACAGTTTAAGACCGTTTTATAAGTATCTGAGGTCAGCTGTACATACTTGATTAAAAAATAATGAACATTTCTATGGTTAAAAAAATTTTTGTATACAAATATTATAATTATCACAAATATAGTATTTTATTATGAGGAATGGAATTTAAATCATTCGTAAATTGCAAACAAAGTTTTTTATCCAATTGAATGCAAGTTGAATTTAAATCTGTTGCCAAACTGGCAAATCTTCTAACTTCTTATATACAGGGGAGTTGAAAATGAAGCTATCTGACAATCAAATCATTAGTTAATAATTAATAATTATACCTTAAATCATATATTTTTTAGGATTTAAGATTTAAAATACGGTTAAATCGTTGTTAAATCGGATTTGCAGTTTATGCCTGGAAATTATTTTTTTTTAAATATAATTTTTTTTGTAACTTTTTTGTGCTCTACAGGAATTAGAACGGCGATAACCAGCGAGCAAAAGAGTATTCTGCAACGAGAGTTTGCAAAATCAAATTATTTGTCACCAACGGCTCGTCACGATTTAGCAAAAAAATTGGGTTTGACGGAGCGCGAGATAACGACGTGGTACCAAAACCGTCGATATTTGTTGAAAAAGGCAAGCAAAAAGGACTCGGAGTTGGATGGCAACAATACCGCATCGTCGTCATCAAAGTTGGATGGAAACAATAACAGCTTGCCATCAATAATACCCGTGCCTGAGTACTACCTTGAATTTGATGCCAATTGCACATTAATAAAAGCATATCCGATAAGGGTGAAAATCACACAAGTGCGTTTTTGTAATTGTTTGTCACTTGGTATGAAAGAGCACATGCGTGTACAGATACAAGAAGTTTAAATGTATACGTTTTGTTAGTTTTTAATGATTCAATGTTTACTATAAACACCCGGTAATGAGGTTAAAAAATACATTGGGTATAACTATAAAAATATTGTGGGTATGTAAATCATATTAGTTATCGGATGGACCATATGAAAATGCTCAATGAAAAAATTTTGTTAAAAAATGTATGTAGTTATAAATATTTTAATTATGTACACGACGAAAATTTAAATTATCTGAGTGATGAATCAAGAGAGGCGACAGCAGTATCAATTTCAGATTTAAAAATAACTCTCGTTTAAAGACCAATTGAAATCCATAATATAGAAACAATTGACTCATTCTAAAAACCTACCAGCCTAAATCAATGAAACAACGATGAAGTACAAACATTAGTACCATTATTATTACATATGTAAACCAAAAGTGTAATATTCATGATTACTTTAAGTAATAGTTAATGTTTAAAAAATATTAAAAAACAAACGCTCAAGGAATAAAAAATGTAATAAAATTTAATTCAGGAAGGAGTCGGATCGTAGTTTATTCGATCCCGATCGGATCGACTCGGAAAGTTAGAGATTATACCAGAATTGCTTCTGCTTGGAATTTTTTCCAAGCCTCACAGCTAGTTTTGCACTACAGGTCTACCCAGTGGTAAACTCTGTAGGTACTCTAAGTAGGTGCAGGGGTAGTTGGAGATGATGTGGTAGTACGAGGTTAAGGTGAAAATAAGAAGTATTAGGAGACTATTTAAGGAAGATAGAACAGGAGTTATGGATAATAATGGGTACCGGTGGAAGAGGGTTGAAAGACTTTTAATACCCTCCGCACACAGGTAATAGAGGATACCCGTAAAAATCAGTCAAAACTAGTGCACGCGTAAGGAATAGTATAGTAAAAAGTAAGAATAAATAAATAAATAAAAATATAATTCTTATTTAACTCTATACCTTAAAATGAGATTATTTTAACTATACAAGTAACTAATATTACTTGAAGTGATTTTCCACGTAACGTCTGGTCAAATTAAAATCGATGTGTTGCCGTTAAATTGTCATTTGACTCATATTTTCATTTTTGATGCGATATTTGAAGACGTGACGCCATCAAATTTTTATTGTGTAAACGCGTTTGATTCTAAAGCAATTACTTCATTCAACCAGGAAGTGAATTTATTCAATGATATGATTATAGTTACTTTAAGTGAATTATAACTAATGTATTTGCAAAAGAAACACGTATGTTTTGTCTGAAACAATCATCCATGATAAAATTATTGGAAGTATATTTTATTACTTTAATCGTTATAAAATTACTTAACCAGCTATGATTACGGCAGAAAATCACACTTCAGCTTATTTGCGCCGTTACGAATGTACATATTGGCGCGTCTACGAAAAATTGGACGGACGGACCTGTAATTGGGGATCGATGACTCGAAGAGAGTGATACGAATATTAGAAAGGAAGTCAAAGAGACAGTATAGAAGACAATAGTCATTGTTAGTGTTTTGAAGCACACAAGTGAAAATAAGAATCAGCGGGGGTCCCCCAAAGAACCTTTGCCGTAGTTACTAATGCGCTTCAAATTTTATTGAGCGCAAGTCTTACTTACGTATTGTTAGTACAATTCTATGTACACTATAGACATAACGCCCTAATTTTTCTTTCCTGCATTAGAACTTGGTTTTTTTCATATCACAAGTCAAGCGACTACAAAATTATTACTTTTTGAAAGTCCTGGCAGTGATGAATTTATTGTTTGTATATCGTGTGTAAAGTATCTAAAGATAAAAAAAACAGGTTACTCGTAAATAATGAATAGCGTGTATTCTGTTCATTACATAATCTTTACTAAATTTTTCTCCGTTGGTATAAAATTGATTGACCATTATAAATTGATAACAAAAAAAAATAGAAAAAAAAAAAATTTTTTTACAACTCAATGACGATTTCCAAGTACAAAGCATGGTTATATTGATTGTATTTGATGTTTAGTGATTCTGCGACGACCACGACATTTTTTTATATTATTCATGGAAAAATTAATCATACGTTAAAAAAAAGTCGATATTTATCATTAACTATAATCCTTATGACTTAAATATACGTTAGATACCATAAGCGAGAGTCTTGACGAGAAAGTCTATCGAAAAGTACAGATGACATGGTAAAAGAAGCGAAAGATTGTCCACTGCGCGGAATAGAAAAAAAGCATATTGTTCCATTCGCGTGGTAGACAATACAGAAATAAGGCATCTTGCGATCGGCTTTCTTTTCAAGGCACCATATGGTATGAAGGAAAAAACAAGTGCCTACCCGAAGATAAGCACAGTCAGAAATTTATTCCTAGCGTACGCGCGATTTTTTACGCTGCATGTTCCGACGTCGCGTATAATAATATGCCTTACTCAAATAATTAATAATAACTAGGGCATGATTATATGTGTGTATATATATATCTCTATATAGCCACAACGGTCTGGTGCAAGAGATCAAAAACAAAGGCCATAGTTCGCAAAAGTTCCGATTGTCACAATATTCATCGGACTAATAACGACGATAAAGTTTCTTTAGCCAGTGTACATAAGAAAAAAAAAAAAAAAAAAAAAAAAGGCTGCCTTGCGTTGTATGGCAAGAGGTGTTTTTTGATGGTCTATCTTATCAACTACAAACAATCGAATATTGTACAGTAGCGGCACAAGGTACATTTTATTGTTATAATTAATACGTTTGAATGAAAATCACGTAAAAAAAAAAAAAAAAAAAAAAGGGTCATTCGATAATATTTTTCCGCGCATATTTACAGCGTAACGCACGAGTATCCATACGAGTATAGATTTGTTTTTTATGATCTACTAAGGCCACAAGCTCATGCGTACCTTTGGCAAAAAAAATCACCTTACCGATCTTTCGCCGGGAAAAGCGCGCGATCGCGCGGGTACCCCCAATTACCCGCGCATAGGATCTTACCGCGCGACTTCCCCCCGAAAAAAAACGAAAGAAAGGCCCGACAATGTTTCACCAACGGCGAGCTTCGACTTGATCGCAATTCAGCTATCGTATACGTCTACATAGCATACGCAATTGTCCCGATACTACTCATAGTAACAATAATATAATGGTAAAAAAAAAAAAAATAATAATAATAATAATAATAATAAAAATGAACGAATCACATAGCCGTCTCGAGCGGCTGGCTCTTGCTCCTGCCGGCGGTCGAGAGCTGGGTAAGCTCTGTCGGCTCGCTCGGCGAAAACGCGTCAAAGTTCGTCTCGAGGATCGCGGCCTCGCTCTTCGACCTGAGCGGCCGGTCCTCGTCGAGATTCGTCTCGAGCAGCGCCTCGCTCCTCGGCCTGTCCTCGTAGTAGTAATGCGTCGGCGGCGGGGGCGGCGGTGGCTGTTGCTCCCGCAGCTGCTGGTGCTGGTAATGCCGATGCTGAGGATGAGGCAGGGTCGCCGCGTGGTAGTACTCGGGCACGGGCTCCGAGACCGGGGTCACGGGACTCGTCGCAATCTCGTAGTGGCTGCTCGCGCCCCCGCCGCCGATCCCCACGTGCTCGTAGTCGAGGGACGCGTTTGTAGCTCGGAGGTCGCGCTTCAGCTCGCTTATCGAGTCGGTGGTCCCGAGGCTCGAGTTGAGCGGCAGCGTCGAGACGTGGTGCAGGTAACCCGACGACGTGTCCACGCGCTCGCTGCTCGGTGTTTGCCCGTCCTGAAAAGGAAACAACAAAAAAAAAACAACAGTAGAGTCACGATCGGTATTGAACTTTGGGAGGGTGAGAAATGGAAAAAGGCGTACCTCGGGCGCGGCGATGCTGTTGGCTTCGGATGGCCAGGCGCTGTTGTTGCGCGACGTGAAGGTCGAGTTGTTGCGGAAGCCTTCGTTCCGGTAGGCGAGCTCGTAGGCTGGGTTGTCGCCGACGAACTTGTGGCCGGTCGCGCCGGCGCTCGTGCTCGGCGAGTAGCGCGGCTCGTGCGGCTCGTAGCCGTCGTAGCACTGGTTGTCCTCGATCGAGGAGTTCAGTTGGGACTTGTCCATCGAGTCCAGACTGCCGCCATTGGACATCTTCTTGTAGTCCATGAAGCGCGAGTTCAGCGTGTCCGTGGACTGTTTTGTCTGGAAATGTCAATGAGGTGATGAGTTTTTGTTTTTGTTTTTTTTTTTTTTTTTTGTTTCCTCTCGAAAGAGTTTCGTTGTTGAATTTCTTCATTTTGACAAGTGTTTGATTTTTTTTGAAAACGAATCGTAACATTGGATAACNTCTTCTTGTAGTCCATGAAGCGCGAGTTCAGCGTGTCCGTGGACTGTTTTGTCTGGAAATGTCAATGAGGTGATGAGTTTTTGTTTTTTTTTTTTTTTTTTTTTTTTGTTTCCTCTCGAAAGAGTTTCGTTGTTGAATTTCTTCATTTTGACAAGTGTTTGATTTTTTTTGAAAACGAATCGTAACATTGGATAACACCAAACAAGCTAAGTTTTGCGGGCTGGCAGCGAAACAATAAAAAAATTGAAAAAAAAAAAAAAAAAGTATAAAACTACATCCAAAAGCGACGAGAACATATAGGACGAAAGAATATGTAAATGTACAAGCAAGCAAGCGCACACACATGGCTATAATAGTATAGGTATACGAGAAAAAATTGTCGCTTTGCGCTCTGACCTGCATCGGTGGTACCAGGACCACTCTTTTTTCCCTCTTCGGCTGCTAGCGTGATTTTTAGAGGTGGATTAGAAAACGGAGACAGAGAGTCAGTCGTGGATTGTTAGTCATACGTCGAAACGCCGGAACCGCCAACTTTTTCGACAATTTATCGTAAGAGTTGGCGATTCCAGTGATTAAATACTTTTATTTTCACATTCAAATGAAAAAAAAAGAAAGGTGGAAGTAAAAGATATATTTTCCAACAGTATCCTCAAAAAAAAAAAAAAAAAAAAAAAAAAAAAGTGGAACAATTTAATCGGCAAAAAGAGAGAGTGAGAGAAAGGATTGAAGGGTCCAACTTACAGGTATGGGCCTTCGTTTCTGGTAAGCCAGCTCCGAGAACCCAGACGTAGAACCGACGGATCGCAAAGAATGAAGGGATTGCCTGATCGAGTTTCGCCTTTCGAGTCTCTCCACTTGGCGTCGCTTTGACTTCGAGACCCAGAGAGCAATGGCCGCTGCCACCAGAGCCAAAGCAACTCCTATTGCACTGAGTATCCCGACCATGACAATGTCCTTCCTCCAGGAGAGCGGATCGATGTAAACTCTTGGATCTGAGGTGCGAATCGAGATTGTCAAAATGAAGTGAGCTCGTACATGGAAGACTGATGATAACGATCGATAACGATCCCGCTTACCGATTTCGCATACAAAGGGATTCGGCTGGGCACAGTGATCTATCTCCACTGTCTGGTACGTAAACATGGTGCACTGATTGACCTTTTCGATCTGCTGGATCCAGACGCGCTCCGAGTAATCGAAGCGCTCTTGTTGCTTTTTCAGGAATCTCCACAGTTCGCGGTAATCACCCATGATGAAAGGCATTGAAGCGTTTGCCGACTGAATGGAGTGAAAAAAATAAAAAAACTTAATGTACGATCGATAAATAATGTCAAGTTGAAGGATCAAAAGATACCAACCCTGCAAAAATCGCGCGCAGAGAAGAAATTCATGGGCGCACCGATGAATATGTAGCAGGTGTCACCGACGAGGTCCCACGATGGTGGACACTTGCCGGTCAGCACCGATCGGTTGTTCATGTGGTAAGGCTGGAATTCGACCTGCAGGAGTTCCGGCGAATCGCCGCGGTCGCGGATGCGTCCGGCAACGGCTAGGGTCTCGTTGTAACCCCAGTAATTGTGCCTCGCGTCCACGCTCGATCTCCACATTTCCAGTTGGCTGCAACGTGTACGAATCATGAGAATTTTTTTTTATTTTATTCCTGTTTCACTGAGAGTTAGGAGATAAAGAAAAAGGACGTGTCACGAACGATGGAAAATTGAAGCTTGTCAGCGAAGCATGTATAAATGACATTTAAAGCGTGGGACACACATGTCGTGGCTTTGACGTGCACGATTATGAGATGTACATGACAATGTCGGTTTTTGTTGTTGGTGCTCAAGTTTTGAAAGTATTGATGTTGGTTTTTTTTTTTTTTTTTTTTTTTTTTTCTTCATAATTTGAAAGTGCATCAAAAAATAAGTTACTTGAGTAAAAAGATTGTACTGTGCCAGATAAAAAATCCTTGTTACGAAACATTATATAATGGAGCTGTTCACATAGACATTTTTTGCTTATTTCAATGTGAACGTTCATATTGAAAAGGGGGTTCCACTGTTCCGCTAAACTCAAATTGAGTGAACAGACTGAACAGACCTATACCTCTTTTTCCATCAGGCAACAAAGCCTATAGTCGCAACTCGCAACTATGTTGACTGACAGAGAACACAGCACAGGTATGTTCAGTCTGTTCACTCAATTTGAGTTTAGCGGAACAGTGGAACCCCCTTTTCAATATGAACGTTCACATTGAATTAAGCAAAAAATGTCTATGTGAACAGCTCCAATAAAAAAGGGAAAGATAAAAAGTTGATGAAAAAGTACACTTGTGTTTCACTTGAAATAGGAAAAAAAAAAATAGTACGAGAGACATTGTAATTGTCAAGTATAGATGAAACGAAAAAAAAAACATGTTTAAACACCTTTTGCCCTCGGCAAAGCATTATGCACACAAAAACGAAAAAGCACGACGATACATGGTCGTGTACTTACTTAGTGTACCATTCCGAGTCGACGACGCTGATATATTTTTTAATTAGCATGCGATTTTGTCGTATGAAAGGAAAAATAAATTCGACAAATTAGGAGACAACAGACTATTGGGAGTAACTTAAATTCATTATATATGTATATATTATTAATGAAGGTGGATCTATGATGTCACCCGCTACTTGATTATAAGTAAACAGCAATAATACAATGGTCTATTTATGAATTTTTACGAATGACAATTGCAATACTCACAGTGATCTATTGATGGTAATCATCTCGTAATCGTTGTCGGGATTGAAGAAGATGTTGTCCACGTACTGCTGTCCCGGAGTACCCGCAACTATCGTGCTACGACCCTCGCGGTCAACCGCGTAATTTCTAGAGGGCAAGAAATTACACATTAAAAAAAAAAAAAACAACCCCTTATGAAAGGAAATGATGTATACTTACTTGTAAAAACCATTGTGAGACGTGCTCTGGTAAATCGGCAGGCGTACCCTTTCGAAACCAGAGATCTCGAGCAGGTGCTTACCGAGATTACCGTGCAAGTAATTCAAGGTCATGTTACTGACGACCTGCTTCAAAACAATGTTGTTCTCGTACTCTGCCACGTTTTTCGTGAAGTAATTCCTGTATACCGTAACTTCCTGGTAAGGACTGCTCTGTCGGCCCTCGACGTATCTGAAAAACCGAGACAAACTTGAGTGCTGTCACCTATCAAAATATCATTTTAATATATAAAGTTGAAACGACAAAAAAAAAAGAAGCTACGACTCACAAAACTGGCTTGTTCAGATTATCCGTAAACAGATTGTTGTGTATGTATCCCTTGAGGGAGGTGGCGGAACCCCGTGAATCGGCTCGGATTCTCAAACCACCCTGATTTTTCATAACCAGGTTATTCTGCGACATTAAACAAAACAAATGAAACCACACACGTTCAGCTTTAACGTACCGGTAAAATTATTTCACAACCACTGACCCTGAAATAAATTGACTGCGTGTTTTGAACGTCCAACGAGACAGCTGCCACGCAAGTGCTGAAATTTCCGTACAATTTTTGGCAATTTCGCACAAATTGGTTCCTCTCCAAAGTTATGACGGCGTTAACTTCGCCTGCGCTGGAGTACCTCACGGCGCCCTCTTGGCACTCGGAAACGACCGAGTATGAAATATTGTGCTGTACATCTCGACCTGCGAGCAAAACAAAAATTCCCAAGTGAAATAAAAAGGGAAAATTTACCTCTTCACAGTGAAAGACGAAGCCTGCACTTACTGAATCCGATGGCCGATATGGGCAGGGTGATGACCTCGGCTATGAAGCCGTGGACGCTACTGGCACCGGTGGCGAACAGCTTGACGCTCAAGCTCGGACCCTGCGTCCTGAACAGCTTCTTGACCGAGCTACCGCTGCTCACGTACAGCTCGTCGATCTTCTTGACGGTGACGTTGTAGATGTCGCCGTCGTAGAGCGTCAAGCTGTCCGGCCGGCCGGGTTTGCCGGTAGAGTTGAACAGGTTGAACTGCAGTAACCTGTGGGAAAAACAAAGAGGCCCAAATGGTATTTATTGAAAAAAAACAAAAAAAAAAAAAAAAAAAAAAAAACAGAATATATATCGCACCTGAATCCGAAAGGCTTGGCCCTGTGACTGCTGCGGAATATCTTGATGCAGTTGACCGGATTGTTATCGTACTTGTAGTAAAGGAGCACGCGCTCCTCTATGGTTATCTCTTTGGTGGTGTCGCATATGTCGACGAGACTGAACAGGTGATACGGTACGTTCAGGTCCTTCAGTGGAGTGAAGGAGCTCTCGTCGGCCTCGCGTCCCTCGCCGGTCAGCGAGAGTATATTGATACCGTTGCCCAAAGCGTTCCGTACCTGATTAAACAGTAGTTCGACCTGAAAACAAAAGAAATATGAACATCGGCCTCCTTTGGTGATGCTTGCACGTAATAGCTCGCGCTAACCGAGTGTGCCGGTGAAATGACGTTGATGCCGTGGTGGGCGCTACGGTCGACGCTCACTCGCGTAACCTTGGGCGACTTGATGATCGACTGTACGGCCGGCGAGCGCTCGTTGTGGAGGATCCCGGCGCCGGTTATGTTGACGAATTGCAGCACCGACTCCACCCTGCGCACCGTCTCGTGCGTCACGAGGTCGTGGATGCGGTACTCGTAGAGGTAGTGCTCGAACTCGCTGTTGGCGATGCGGATGCCACCCCAGTAGCCCAGCGTAGGGTCCAGGTTGCGCTCGCCGCAGTGGACGAAGACAAAGTCGCCGTCCCACGGGCACTCGTGACGGTGACCGTACAGTTGACCGTTAAGCCGGATCTGACAGTCCTCCAGGCTCTCCTCGTTCCCTGTGCACTAGGTTTTTTTTTTTTTTTTTTTTTTTTTTACATTAAACCGATCTCGCACACGCTACTATGACGATGGGATTTTTTCTTACCTGCAGAGGCTCGGGCCACGACCATATCCTCGACAGAGAGCCAGGATGCAGCTCGTAGCGCCGATCTCGGGACACGTAGACGTTGAGGGGCTCGAAGCCCAGTTGGCGACACACCACTTGGCCGTTGCGCTCGGTGAAACGAGTGTCGCAGAGAGGTATCCACTGAAGCGTGGTGCGATTGAAGTATTCAACGAAACCTGTCGCGAGACAAGAAAAAAAAAAAAAAAAACCGTCAACGTATGATTTGTAAAAAAAATCGGCAGTCCACAAAGCGTATACTCACCAGAGCTCGCTGAATCGGTGCAGTTTCCATTCTCGCACAGTCTGATGACGGCGTGGGCATCGGTATTTCTCTTGGGTCGCGATGAAACGTCGTTCTCGCTGGCGATCGGTCTCATGACGATCTCGTGGCCGGGCGCCCCGATGGCTTTCAAGGTGCCGAGCACGAGTATCCCGACGTTGGGTGCGAACTCCATGACAACGTCCGGGTGTATCTGGAGGGTCGCGTCGGGCATGACCGTAAGGTCGGACTTGACGGTGTAAGGCTCGGATCTCGCGTACAGCGACAGGTTATCGGTTATTCTACCGCCGAGGTGGTTCAGGTCGACCTCGGTCGCTGGCTCCCAGGCCGCCGAGGTCGGGGAGTCCAGAGACTCGGTCTTCAGGTACGGACGGAAGTTCGCTACAGCGTGATCGTTCCAATCATCGAAGTCGAATATTCGTTCTCTGCAACGGAATGAAAAAAACAAAAAACGCAAATAAAAAGTGAAAAGAAAAATCGAAAGGAAAAGGCGAATGTTGAGAAAGAAAGATCAGCTGACCTGATCTGACGATCGTCGGGTGTGCCCCACCAGTTCTCAGTGACGTCGACCATGTTGTTGATTTTCGCGGTCATGATTCCAGCAAGGAGCTCGTAATCCAGATCATTGCCGCCAAATAGATTTCTGCTTACGCGCACCTTCTGGATCCCGTGAAAACCCACGACATAGCTCGGCATCGTAAACATTTGGTGCAACGCGCCGCGGCCCGGACTTGAGCTACGACTGTTCTGCTTGACCTCGTTGTAAACGAATCTCGCGTCTATCTCGCCCATTATCTCGGACTGGCTGTCAGCCCGGAACTCCACCATGTAGCTGCCTCGGTTGTGCTCGATGCGGTTCGCCTCGAGCTTCATGCGCTTCTCCATGCCCCGGACCGATATGAGGCCGGTCTTGCACCGGTTGCCCTCGAATCGGTTGCGCGTCATGTTGAAACTCGCGTAGTGCCCGTCAATCACGAAGCTAAAGTGCTCGTTGGACTGCCAGGTGTTGTTGTCCATGTAGATCGAGTGCGTAAAGTTCTCGTTGTACTGCCACACGTACGGCAGGGATATCTCGAAGCCACCCCCTTGGTTGCGCTCGATTGTACTATCCTTGACTATCCAGTGGAACAGGTTGTTCGACTGGCGCATGTCTCGGCTGTACTGGATTATTCCACGGCCGTTGTCTATTATCAGACTGTGAACCGACAAATCGTTGTTGGTAAAAATTCGTTCATTGCATTGATTGAAAAGAAAAAGAAAAACTATTCACCTGTTGTTGACGTGAATAGATATTTCCGAAATGTTGGAATGAAACACATTCCAGTGCGGGGAGTGCACGTGAATGGCCTCCTCCTTGTTGTGCGAGATCTCGCAGTCGACGAGCTGTATTGTCTCGTTGGCCTTGCGAAGGTAGTGGTCGCCACGCTCGTCGAGATAACGATTGTAGTACGAGGCGTGTATGCCCTGCCGATTGCCCCGTATCTTTGTGTTTGAAACGTGTAGGGTCGGAATCGGACCGCGTACTATGCGATTTCTTATGTCCTGAAAAACAAAAACGATTAATTCAACGTCGATCCATTAACGCGTGAAGCCGATAGAAAAAAAACTCACCTGAATCGGCGCAGGAAGCGAGGTGAGCACAATAACGGTTCCACCCAGTGCATTGTCACCGCTGTGGTACTCGAGCACGACAATGTACGAGCTCGAAGCGACCGGAAATACCGTGAGGTCCCTCTTTACGTGCCATATGTTGCCGCGGTGCTTGACGTTCTGCGAGTCGTGGAGTACTATTTGCTCGGTGCTCCTGTTGAGTATGGGATTTAACAGTTGAATTCCGACCACGTAGCCCGGCTTGCACTGAAATAAGAAAAAAAAAAAAAACCTTATTTTTTAGTACCAATGGATGTAAAAACACGCTGTGACGATGAAACGTCTCACCTTGATCTGATAGAACCGGTCGACGGGTTCCTCGGAGATCCTCGAGGTGACGAGGTACTTGGTCTCGCGCAGGTCCAGCTCAATGTCGCCGCTGTGCTCCGGCACGAGGACCGGCGCGTAGTTTGTGTCCAGCGAGGTGTCGGGCGAGCTCGTGAACCATCCGGCGAATTCCCTCTGCTGTACCGCAGAGAGCGCCGGATTGTGCCTGATGCCGGCCAACTGGTTGTTCTCGAGGCGCGAGTTGGCGATGTGCAGCCCCAGCTGCTTGAAGCTCACGCCGCTGGCCCCGTTGTTGCTGAAATCGCTGTTTCGTACCGCGTTCACCGCATCGGCCGAGTATATGTCGGCGTACAGGACACCCAAGCCGTCGTGGAGGTTATTGACGACCCTCACGCCCTCGAGCGAGTGACGGGCAAAGTCGATCTGGAGGGCCGGCTTGAATGAATCAGTGGTGTAATCCAGCAGGCCGGCTCTCTCGATGCTGACGTATTGCAGGTCACTGCGTTCGGCAAGGGGACCTAACCTCAAACCGGCCCACGCCGGCTCGGTGCACCTCAGGCCAACGTCGTGCTCGTGCGTGCACGAATTCTCAAAATCCGCGCTCGTCTCGGCCTTGCAGCGCGACACGTCTATGTCGTCCTCGGTGCAGCGCACGTTGCTCAGCACTATGTCCTCGTTCGTGCCGGCGCTCGGGATCTGCGAGCGCTCCATGCACCAGTTGTCGGGGTCTAGCGTCAGCCCGAGCTGATGGCAGACCAGGGCCGCGTTGCGCGTCGTCCAGCCGTAGTTGCAGACAGTGCCCCACTTGTCTCCAACCCTGACCTGCAGTCGGCCCTCGTGACTTGTCTTGCCCCCGAGAAGCCGGACCGGCACCCGGTTCGACTCGTCGGCCATCATTGTTTGATCCAGGCTGATGGTGTCGTTGCTTGCGTTCTCCTGAGCCCCGACTATCTCATCCTTCAGCGTCATGAGGATGCTGTTCGGCCCAACGCCGTGCGCATCGAGTTTGCCAGCCACCATGATACCCACTGCTGGAGGAAAGCGGAGCGTCACACCCGGCTGGAGTATCAGTTTGCCACCCGGGCGAACGTTTATGTCGCGTTTGACCGCGTACTCGCCCGCCTGGAGGATCTCGTGGCCGTCGACCTCGCCACCGACCACATTGCTACCGGGCTTCAGAAAACGTGGCACGTAGGTCGGGTTCGGATTGATGGTGCTCGTGGCCGGATTGCTCGGTGACAGTAGATAAGGGATATACTCAATTTTTGCCAAGTTGTAGCGGTCCTTTCTGCGGATCGAATGTATGCCATGTATATTATCAATTCATTCCGTCAAATAAACAATGATAATTATAAACGTACCTGTGGAAGAGCCTCTCGAATATCTCCGGCTGCTCGTACGAGCCGAGCCAGTTGTAGGTGCAGTTGATGATTTTGCTCTGGTCCTCGAGATGGGAGCCGATTTCGTAGTTGGACTGAGGATTGTCCAGTATGTTTCTGAAGACGTGTACGTTGCTCGACGAGACGACGACCACCGCAGAGACCCTTGACCTAGGCACGAGTCTCGCGGTGGCCCGGTTATCGGCGCCATTGTCAAAGGGCTCTCGGGCCCTGTTGTCCTTGAGGAAATTGCGCGTAAACAGAAGGCGCTGAACCTCGCTGTAAGCCGAAAAGCCAAGACTCGCGACGAAAAGGCCGCGGTTGTCGTAGAACTCATTGTGCTGGATCAGCAAGTCCGCCGGAAGCACGTTAAGCTCCTCCAGCAGAGGATTGCGCACGAGGACGCAGCCATAAGTGTGCTCGCGAAAGTGGTTGTACTCGAGGACGCCCTCGAGGTTCAAAGCTGGGCTCAGTTTGATGCCCAACTTTGCGTTCTGCACGAAGAGGTTATGGCCGATCTGGAGCTTGAGGATGCCCTGGTTGTGGCGCCAGCTCGACTCTATCTGCACTGAAGTCTCGGTGCTACTGTTGAACCAGTTTCCGGTTACGTTGACGTACGAGTTGCCCGTGGCGTTGCCGACGAGTATACCAATGTCACGGTTGCGGAAGATCTCGGAATACTCGATGACCGTGCTCTGGTTGAAGTGCACGTACTCGCTCGATGAGCTGTCGTTCATCCAGACGGCAAAGCCGTAGCCCCGGTTGGACGATATGCTCGAGCGGGAGATGTTTCGCGTGCCACCGGTCACGGTGACGTTGACTCCGTCGCCCTGATTGAAGGCCACCCGGCTGTTGGTTATGTTGACCTCCGGCACGCCGCCGAGCACGTGGACGCCGGCAACGTGCCGGTTGTTCGAAACCGAGGTGTCGTCTATGTGGAGGGCCGAGCGCAAGCGCTCCGCCGCTATGCCGCGCCCGCTGTTATCGGCTATCGTGCTACCGGTCACGTTTAAATCGTACGTTTTTCCTGAAACGAGAGATGCGGGGGGGTTCATCGGACACGAGGTTTGGGTGAAAAAAAAAAAAAAAAAAAACAAATAAATATAGTGAAATACTCACGGTAACCAGACATTAGTCGTAGAAAGGCTACCATGGAGGTGCGCGACTCGGCGTAAAACTTGATGAACAAGTTCTGACTGGAAGTGGTGACGCTTTGCGGCAGGGTGCCGTTTCTCACGCTTACGCGGGCCAAGGGTTTCTCGACGGTGCTCATACCGTCGTAGATCTCGATGATGGCGCTGTCGTTGCGGTCGGTCTTCATTTGCAAGAAATGCACTGTCAGCACGTGGCCCGGCATCGTGTGGATGTGCTACAAGATCAATGCGTTGTTTTACCCCATCGTAAAATTTATGGAGGCAAAAGACGAAAGGATTGGACTCTTACCTGTGGGCATCGTTTCGGGTTTGGAGCGTACTCGCTCTGTCGAAGGGATATGGTCACGGGGAAGGTTTGACTAGCCGTCTTGGGGAAGGTGCAGAGATCGTAGACGTCCGCCCGGTCGAGGAAATCGTCCGGCCGCTCGTCGCGGTGGACGTACTTTATCCCGTCCGCCTCGTTGTCCTCGATCACGCAGTTTTTTATGTGCGCCTGGCCGGTGGAGCTGCTCATGTAAATGCCGTCTCCTGCGATGCAAATTTGAAAAATGAGATGGCAAAATGATAAAGTGGAATGTTTACGAACAATGAAGGAGAAAGTAATATGCCCACCTCTGTTTCCTTGCACCGTGCAGTTGGAAATGACGATGGGCGCATCCGGTAACGTGACGTTTATACCCGTGAACGCCGAGCCAATAATTGATATCGATTTCATTCGAGGTGGTACGCCTTCGACGTGCAGCGCCGAAGTAACGTTGAACTCACGCCCAGTTCCTGCGTGTCTGTGGTGTTTGCATAAAATCTATACGTTACCCCATGCGTATGTATACAGTATACACACTAAATCGATCTTTAGCCGGCAAAGTGAGACCACTTTGACGTCGTTATTTCTGCTCGATCGACTTTGACCGTAGGGGGGAGAAAAAAAATGTAATTTTACCTGATTTCCACGAATCTAAGAATCGACTTGGATCGACGCACGTAGAGGGTATTCTCCTGTATGAGCGGCCTGTCGAATGCCGCGTTCTCGAACCGCAGACCACGCCAGTGCTTGATGGCACCGGTCGCCCCATCGTGGAACGGAGAACACGCGATACCCAAATCCGGATGATAATCTGAGGTGGAAGACAAAAAAAAGGATTCAACTCGATCGGTCCATTTGGTCGGTTTTGAGGGTTCGAGCAAGAGACTCACCGCACACGCCGGCACCGAGCATCCTGTTATGCCAGAGGCCACAACTTTGCAGCGATGACTCGGTGCCCCGACACTGCGGCTGCTCGTACAGCAGCCTCGGTCTCGCCGGCCATTGCCTGTCCAGCCAGCCCCACCAGCGGCCGCCCTGGTACCCGAGCTCCCTGCACGCCGTCTCTAGATCCGCGCGGGTCCAGCTGTTGTTTCCACGGAGCAAGGAAATATTCGTCTTTCAAATTAATCACGTCCAAACAGTTTGATGATTTATTTTAAAGTCATGACGATCATCCCGAGCAAAGGTGACAATAACAAAGAATTTGTAAGAGCCCGTACAGGCAACAATAGAGGCGTCAACTCTCGAGGGATCCTCGCATCAAAACACAAACAGTGTAGCCGCGAAAGTCACACGCAAGCATTCGAGTTACCGAGACTCTCTCGCTCGGCGTAACAATAACAGCGGTTGCTTTGCGTAGATACCGATCATCGAGATGTACATATTAGTATGAGAATAAGAAAAAAAATCTCTACTTACTTTCTCGAGTTGGTGCAGACGGAGCGCCACTCGCCCTTGTGGAAGATCTGGAGGCGGCCCTCGAGCGGACTGGGGCCATCGACAAGCCGGAGCATGCGGCCCTCCGGCCGACCGGGCGGGCCCTCCGCGCTCGTCAGCAAGATCGGCTTGTTTTCCTCTCCCTGCGGCACACCAAGAAATATACATATATCAAGTGAGCGAGAAACATACGCGCGTTTTTTTTTTGCAGGAGCGAGAAAAAATTTTCTACTCTTAAAATCAAGTATTGTCAATGGCCCTTTGCTGGCAACCCGCGCCATTTTACTGCACGATTGGTAGAAATAAATAGTAAATGGATAAAGAAAATCGGGGAATCCTCGCATAAAAAAGACATCCAACACCTCGTCGAGTTGAGAGAAAAAATGCGTTGCCCAGCACACGATATATGAGCGAGACGACAAAGACAAGACAATAAGGACTTACCCAACCCGCGGGCGTGACTCGACTGACGCGATGCCGGTGTCACGACTAGCTTTTATAGGCTCGGTTCCGGATCGGTTATAGTCGATGGAAGAGCCCAACGTTACGCTAAAGGGAGAATATGGTCTTCAAATCACTTTAGGGCAGAATTTTCGAAATAGCCGTTTCGAGTCGCGATCATGTTATTATTTGAGAGGGTCAACCGATTTTTCGTTAACGTTTGTACTTGTAATTCGTTTCGAATGAGAGACACATTAAATTAATTACAAAAAAAAAATTGTCACGAGAAATCTTAACGATTAATCTCGAAAAATTTAGGCGTAAAAACTGGAAAGCTTCTTCTTTATCAAACAAGTGGAATGGCAACTCATGGAGAAGAAAAAAAAATGTGCAAGCAACTATGACACTACCATAGCACACAGAAGCCGAGTTGACGTATGTTTTAGGAAAACACTGCTCGCTGACGAGCATGGCTAACGCTTCCCTTTTAAAAACCCTGAATCATCAATGAGCAACGACTCCAGAGCACCACTGGCTCGATTCATCATCTAGTATATATACGGTACCAATCGAGTGCAACGTTAATTTATTCACTCGATTACACGACATGATCAATTATATTACCGCATACACCGAAAAATTTGTGTTTGCAATATTCTCCAATTGCCAGGGAATTTCGTTGATTTTGTACCTAAACTCTGTACTCCCAGGATTAGCCTCACTTGCCCAGAGATAGCATAACAGTATACAAGTAATAAATATACCAGATAAGAAGGAGAAAAAAAAAACAGCCTAACGAGGGGTCAGCGCGTGCCGGCAGGTCATTATTGCTCGTTGATCCGCGGTGACCCGAAACGCGGCTCCCTTGTAGAGTTGAATCACCCATTCATGTACTTACTCCTACTCCGAGCGAGGGTACGAACTTACGCACTCCGTGATGCGTTTTACAACTCTTTTTTTTTTCTTCTTCTCGCTTGACGGACGAAATTGGGGACGAATCCGTGACGCGGTGGGTGGTTGATTCTTCAATTGTGCGGAATTCAAGCCGAGAAATAAAGGGTGAGAGGCGCCGGTAATCTCGATGTTTACCACATGCTAATGCGCGCTCTGTTGTTCTTTTTTCTTCCTTTTTTTTTTTTTTTTTTTTTTTTTTTTTTTTTTTTTTTTTTTTTTTTTTTTT